CATATGACACTCCTCAAGTCTCCTTTTGCTTTTTTCAATATTACATTTCAATGTTACATATTCATATTATAAAGTGATAATACATAAAAACATAAAAATAATTGAAAAAAATAAATATTAATGAAACCTGGGGGAAGTATTTTGCCTGCATTTGCCTGACTTTGCATGACTTCCTGTTTTGGTCTGTGAATCTGCAACCAGCTTTACACAACTGAACCTGCCTCTGCACGGTTACCATGGTTGATCATATGACTCGAATGCGATTAGAGTGAAATCGGCCTTTAAGACTTGGTCCCCACTTAACAGAGCTTGGCTTCATCCAGAGAGAAAAGAAAGAAGCAGAGATGCACAGATTCAAACACATTTACTTTGCAAACATGCACAGAAAAAAAAGTTATTATGGAGAAAAGCCATGTTTGTGCCTCAAGAATGAGATCATCCCATCATATGAGCTGCTCCATATTATATTCTACTGCAGTTTAAACTATGTTAACAGGAATTATGCATCAGCAGTGTGAACATTAGCAAAATATCTGATATATAATTATTTTCTGTAAGCAAGACTCCCATTTATGAATATGAAGATAATGTATGCTTATATCCTTTTTTTTGGCAGATTGTTTTGTACGAGCTGACAGATTTCCCCGAGGCTGACCCACAATTGAGAAACAGTTAACAGTGTTTACAGCTACATGCACAAGTAAGTTTTTAAGTACGTTAAACTTTAACATAAATGTGTGAGTTAATCGGTTACACAATTTAAATGGAGGTGGTTTGAGGTTGCACCCTGGTCCAGATGATTCACGATGAGTAAAAATACTTTAAAAAACCTGATGACATTGAGGAAAGTACGATGGATATACAAGCGTTATATGCATATATGTCTGTACATGTATGTGGCTTGTTTTTATGTGTTGGCACATTCTCATGATTTATGTATGTGTGAAGATATGAGGATTTATGGAGATGAAAATACTGGAGAGGTTTCCCCCTCTGGCTGCAGCTGACAGGATGGTGGCAAATATACAAGCGAAGACACAAAACATGTTGAGTATGTGACACATCAGATGCAAAATGGAGCCGGGACCGTGATGCTGAATGTGTGTGTCCCTGTTTTTGCTCCACTGCCTCCGAAGCTCCTGGAAAAAAGGAAGGATGAAACTTTGTTGCAGCTGGAAGAAGTTAGAATGTAATAAATAAATCCTAGACATTTGACATTGGAGAAATATACTTTTTTCAGCAGAATTATGAGAAGATCAATTAGCCCCACTGAAGAAATTCTACCTTGCCTGGAAATAATCCAGCAATTACAATTTTAATATTAACCTGAGCTAATATCTCCTGGTTGTAACTTTTTACTGTCTGTATGGACGATCTTCTCCACCTTGACACAAAGTTTATCTCCATGTTACTCACTGCTGTTTCCAAGGTCAAGGTTTCAAGGTCTGAGGTCTTGTACAGGGATTTAAGGTCTTTTCTCCTTCAACAAAAACAAGAAATAATTTGAATCTTTACCTTGGGTGTGAGCGACCTCTTTAAATCTTTCTGTTCGTCACTAATTATCATTTTAAAAGGCTTTTCATACCGAGAGCAATAACTCTGATCCGTTGTCAAACATTGCTGAATATGCTCATTGTGTAGTGATGAATTAGTCGGCAGGAAAATTAATGGACTTTGGCAGGTGCTGAGTCATGGTTGGAGAAGTATTTGCCTTTCAAACCAACTCTGACATAAAAGAAGAAGAAGAAAACACAGGATTTAGTTTATTGTGATTATTAAAATCAAAGTCTGTGTGAGTGTAGAAGATGATACAAGAGGTTTTAACTTCTTCGTGAACTCTACTTTGTCTTTCTGTCACCATTTTTAATTTCCTCCTCACAGCGGCAGAGTGGACGCCCTAATCTCTTTGACCTATCACAGGCAAACAGCTTTCCTCACATCCCCCATTGCCTACTGTTCACCTGAAATCAAAACAGAGCGGACAGGAGAGCCTTCGCATACTGGAGCCTCTCCCCCCAGCATGCTTCAGAGGAATTAGGTCAGGGCTTGTTGGTAGTTATCTTTCCTAACCGGAGAGTCTAACCGTCGAGGCAACGGGGGAAATGTGAGGAGAGAATACGGGATGAAATGAGCTCTGATCTTTCGCTGTTGTGTTTCAGCGACTGGATTTGTTCTAACTCACCTCAGAGATGGAGAAAGGCACCTCGACTCTTGAGCGGGCTAAAAGTGGCGTGACTTCCCCTGTGCAAACACGCTATATTTAGTGAGCGGCTTGTAGTTGGACAAGCACCGGCTTCTGTGGTAGATAATTTCCTTTTAATATGATTTAAATATCAGTTCCCTGTAATGTTGACGTGAGAGAGAGAGAGGGAGACGAGTGGGGGAGTCTGGGTCATAGGTTTCCCCCATCACTGAGAATACAGGTTACAGGTGGAAGGAAAAAATATAGTGATGACAAAAGGAGGGCCCTGGCTTTCAGACTTTCAGGGCTGCGTGAATAAAAAACAATGTCGTTCTGTACAGGTACTGTAGGACACACACACACACACACACACACACACAGAGAGAAACACACAGTGTGACCTGTGGGGACCTCCTGCTCAACAAACAAGTGGTGTAATTATATGCCTGTGCGGCGCTGCAGGTGGAATGTGCTAGTGACAGTCAAGCCCTTGTTGTCATAAGGACTGGAAACAGCCCAATGGCCAACAGACGTGAGCTCACCATCATTACAATGAGAGGCGTGGCCAAGCCTGTCGCCGCTGCGGACCTGGTGTTGCCGTGGAGATGGGACACACACACACATGTACACACAAACACACACATAGATTGGTTTGGAGTGACACCGCTGGGAAATTAAAATGGTAGCTCTAAGCAACCGGATTTTATTGGCCAATCACAGCTTGATCTCGGATGTGTTTACCTTGCAAGTTTGTGTGTGTCAATGTGTGTGTGTGTGTGTGTGTGTGCATGTGTGTGTTTTCACTGTACAGGTGCACCGAACATCTTCTAATTATACTGACAATGTCAGCCAGTGTTGGTGAAATATTCACCACGCTTGTCTAACGTTTGGAATCAAACACAGAGGAACAATTACTGACCTATCAAATCATTCTACAGCTCTGTGTGTGTGTGTGTGTGTTAACATTAAATCTTAAGGTTATGATTTAAGTTTAGGTTAAGGCTAAGCTAAGTTAAGGTTTAGTGGTTAGGCATGAATTAAAGTCATGGAGACGTGTGTCTGTGTGTGTGCACGCTGTCATCACTGTAGGTAAAAAATAACACATGAATTACCGGTTTCCCAGCATGCTCTGCAACACAACTAATTGCTGCTGCTACATCAAGACTTGACTGTAGCCAATTAGAGTGGAGCTTGTTCACGTCTGAATGTAAATAAAAACACTTGCATGTCTAAAAGCAGAGACGTGATTGCGACGTCTTAAAGCAGCAACCTCTAATTAGAGTGAAGAGCCCGAGGCGGAGGAGTGGAGGCAAAAAGTGAACCATTTTATTACATTAAAATGTTTCATACAAACAATGCATACACACTAGTTTCATATTGCTTCAGACATAAGTTTTCTTTTCTGTTTGAATTCCAGTTAAACAACTCTGTAACAAAATGTAAGTACAACATTTATGAAAATATAAATCTCTAAACAGGTAAGTCAGTCTTGACAATACAAAGAATACCATAGAAACATTCATTACCAGTATGTCAACTATGAGTTGCAAACATGTAAGTTATTAAAAGTCATTCAAGTTACTGAACATACAATAATACCATGTACTGGCTTCGATATGGACACATTCAAATATACTCTTAAACTGGCATTCCAATATACTGTTTTCTATAAGAGGACTCTTTTTTTAAAACTTTTTAGCAAAGATAGCACATATTCTCTATCATAAACATAATCACAGTCAAACACTGAAACGATTTGGTAACAATATAATTACAGAACAAGCCTCAAAAACGAAATGAGACGGTTAACAGAATAAAACACAAATCTCAGCTGGGACTTTGGCAATTACGTGATCTATTTTTTTTTTTTTTGTCAATTTTGAAACTCGAGTTGTTGGGAAATAAAAGTATTTTAAAGCTCGATGCTGCTACCCAGTTTGAAATTATCCAAGGGCCGTTATCTCTCGACAAATAAAAACTAGTAAACGTACAATAATAATGGAATAGCCCTTTAAAAGTATATGTCAAAGTGTAAGTGTGTGGGGTTTGTTTTTCAGTCATGCCTGGCAGATCATAGGTGTCATCGGAAAAAATTCCAAATGCTAATTAGGTTTTGGGTTATTACAGACATGCTTGTAAAAAAGCTACAACCTCAATTTTTTTTTTTAGATTGTCAGCGAACCAGATCTTAGCAATTCTTTTTTTTTTTTTACTGTGTGTCAACCTGTCATCATGAGTCAGCATCTATTGGCTCATTTACAGCTTGTAAATGATTCACGATCATTTTTGTATCACATATGTAAACCTACGAAAAAACTCAGCATGAATAAATTTAAGTAACTGTGCAAGAAAAAAATAATTGTGGGGGGAAAAAAACTTGAATTTGGCAAAATAGGTAAAATTGTGAGGTTATTCTAATTATATACAAAAAAAATAACTGCTTTTGTGAACGTCTGAGTACAGTTTATTTATTCAGAGTATTTTATTTTGAAGTGAAGAAGGTAAACAGGGTGAGGGTATGACATGCAACAAAGCTCCCAGACCAGACTCAAACATTGCAGTTATGTAGCATGCACTTTAACAATTCAGCTACCGAGACGTTCCTTGAGTACGGATTTAAAGCAGAAGGCACACATTCGTTTTTAAAAAAAGACAGTAATTCAAAATGCACATTTTGGCCCTGATTTAGGTTGTAAAGACAGGGCCAAAGTTTATGAAAACATTTTTGGGTTCAATCTGTACTTGGATGTTCACAAAAGAGTTTTTTTCCCAGAGTATCCTCATTATTTATATTAATTTTGCCAAATGTGTATGCTGAAAACTTTGTGCCCAAACTTTTCTACAACATTATTTTCCTACACTTTCCTGACTTTTAATTTTTCATGCAAAGTTTTTTCCCACAAAGGTTCACAAAAGTTGATACATCACAAATTTCAGATTTCTCAATTTCTATACAAAATCTTATTGACCCTTGTTTGAGCCGATAGATTTGTCCACCTCTTCAGTTCATTGCAAGGATGACAACATCTTTGTATTGTATTGGGACCAGGCATATATGGAGAGACTGAAGCATTTCAGCGAGTCAGCTGTAACCTGCAAGTACGTGGACGGCCTTGTGTATTTTTTTCTCGGCAAATCCACAACCTTTTTAAGACAAATCTAGATCACTTCAAACATTTTTTACAATGTTTTATAATTAAATCTAATAAGTTCTCACAAACCACTCATAAAGTGCTTCCAACTATTGTCTAAATCTCTAAATATATTCACTCCTTGTCCTTTTCTACTAGAACATTTGAACAAACTAAACCTAAAGCAAGTACACTGGTTAAGGCGTGAATGTGTATGGTGCTATGCTACACTGTATGCTCAATAGTGGTGTTTCCCTTAAAACGAACAGCACACAAATCGATGGAACAGCAGGTAAATTCACGTCAAATTTACGGCAACCGCTCCAAGACATTTCTACAACTATCATTACAAAGAGCAATGCCGTCGATCTCTCGTGTTGTTGACTGGTTTTCGGTAAACTGATCGATTAGATTTAACGTCAATGCAAGTATTATGCAACTGTGTGAATACTGTGTTTACAAATTCCCTGCATTTTCATAAATCTTGTAATCTGCCCATAAAGAACATTTTAAATTCCAGGCACTCACTTTGATTGCATTAAGCACAACATAACATTTTTTAAGGAGTTGCACAAATTGCAGCAGCCAAAAAGAGATATGTACATATGTTCATAGTTCTTCCATTTTGTAAAGTACTGACTGATGTAAATACAAACATAAATATACTTTTAAGAACAACATTATGGCTTAATGTGCACAATGTAAATAAATATAATGTACAATGAAAGTGGCTAAGATCACTGGAATGGCTTTGAAAATGTTTGAACAAGACATTTGAATAATAACTTTGTTCTTCAAATGCAAAAGGACACATAATGGCAAACTAATAACTCACGCAGTTTACATTTTTTTTCTTTTCAAAAACATAGTATTTTTCTAACA